AAAGGAAAAAAAAAAACTAAAATAAAAAATAAATCGTTGGGACGACTCACCCGCATACAACCTGAACAGCGTAAGGTACAATAACAAAGTACGCCTCTACTGCTCCTCCATGGCTCAGGTGGCTACGACTTCAACCGCCGTGGGATTTCCCGGATTCCGCCGCCTCTCTTCCCTCCGATCTTGTCCTCAACCACCGAGGCTCGTGAATTTTTCCTATCATTTTCAGAAGAGAACTCTTGGACACAACAGGGTCATCTGCTGTTCCGCAAAGGAGGTATAACTGCTTCTCGAATTCTTAGTTTTCAATGGAAATTATCCGGTTTTCCCTTTTCGATATTCGGCCGACGAACGAAAGAAAATTGCAGGAAAAGCCGCTCGGGGAGTCGGATTTCGAAGTCAGTGCGACGGCCGCCGACGGCGCCGTTAGTGAAACAACTACTTCAGCTTCCGGTGCTCGTCTATTGCCGGAGTACCCAGATAAAGGCTTCAATCGGCGAATAGCAGTGGCTTCAACCCTTGCCGCAGTTGGGCTTTTCTTGTCATCTCGGTTGGACTTCGGCGGCGTCTCGTTGAAGGACCTCTCGGCTGCAGCATTACCATATGAGGAGGTTTTTATTCCTTCCTACTGTTAAATTATTCTTCTCCCAAAAGGACAATACTTGACCAGAAATTCTATAGAGCTATCGGAGCCATCCATTACTTTATGAGATGAATCGTGTCCAATGTGCATTTATTACTATAGATGACTCCATAAACCGAGTTATTCGATGGCTTCATAGCAAACCGAATACTTGTAATACCTTCTTGTTAAAATGTGTTGATGGTTTAATTTAATAACAGTTTGCAGTTGATATTGGGGAAGAGAGTGAATTAGTTCTTGCTTGCAACTAAAGGGACACTGCCATATTGGATTTGTTCTTGTAAAGAAAAGTGTGAAAAAGATGTGAAATGAGAGTGAATTTTGTCATTGTGATGGTAAATATTTGATCTTTATGGAAACGATAACATGTTATGATAGCTAATAGACAGAAATAAATTAGTGGGAGTAAGTGAATTTGTGGAGGAAAACATGTAATTATTATTAGTGATTCGAGGAGTCTTTTCTTCGACTATGTTCCTCATTGAGATAACAAAGATGTAAACATTTTGTTTTCAGCCTCTCTTTCAGTTGATTTTCCTGTGTGTGTGCTGCCGGCCGCGTCATCGTTTTGATGACTATTTTGAAATTGAATGCATTTTTAAAATTGTTATAACAGAAATTTTGTATGTATAATGTTTTTAAAATATATATTTAAGATGATGGTTGGCAGAACACTTGTGCTCGAGTGTTATAGTTTAAGTTGAGGATTTTGAATATGTAATAAGACACTCATTGAGCTTGTTACAGATTGCTTGTGGTATAGGCCGTTCCGTTTAGGAATGTCAATAAAACCCGTTGGGGTTGACCGCGGTTCCTTTCTTAGCGCTTTTTATAGATTTTTTAGAACCACTACAACAGATGTAGAGTACTTTTTGTATGGATTCATATGAAATCCCTTTGTCAAATTTCATCTTTGGACACTATTGCACATAGGGTTTTTTGTAGTCCTAAAGATCGTAAAACTCTAACATTAAGTGTTTGTTTACCTTTTACCAAAGTGAGACAACTCTATTACTATTGAAAATTAGCAACAAAATATTTTTATTCCTCTTTTGTTAAAAACCTTTACTTAAAGTTTATGAATTTTGTTGTAATGCATTAGGCTATTTCGAATGGAAAACCAACTGTTGTAGAGTTCTATGCTGATTGGTGTGAAGTATGTCGAGAATTAGCTCCAGATGTCTACAAGGTGGAAGAACAGTACAGGTAAATGTCTCTCGCTCAACATTCAAACAAACGAGCAATAATAATAATCACACAGATTGGCACCACATCTTATGTATGTAAATCTCTTACAGTCCGTTTCATTTCCAGCTTATTGATTTTACATGTAACATCCATTTAAAAGATTTGCTCCACCAGCTGCTGATCTTTGTAGTAAATTACATGATTTAAATGTCAGAACAGAATCTGTATAGTCTGTTTTCAAGAAGCACTTTAAAGTGTGTGTTTGTGTGTGTGACTTGGATCTTTTAGTTGCATCTTTATGACCATTTCAACTACGGAGTTTTTTCTGTAACATGTAAAACCAATCATTCTCCTTTTTTACATCTTCACATAGCTGGTCACTAATAAGTTGAATAGATTGTCTATTTTACATGAAAAAAACAATGTTTTTGAAAATGGAGGTGATAAAACTTGCATAGTAATCATAAATTGTTATTCAACAGAAGAGTTACCTTACTTACTGGTGATGTACTATTATATTCAGGGATCGGGTGAACTTTGTTATGCTGAACGTTGATAACACGAAGTGGGAGCAAGAGCTAGACGAGTTTGGTGTTGAGGGTATCCCACATTTTGCGTTTTTGGATAGGGATGGTAATGAGGAGGGGAATGTGGTGGGCCGCCTTCCGAGGCAATATTTGCTTGAGAATATTGATGCACTTGCTAGAGGTGAAGCAACTGTGCCTCATGCTCGTGTCGTGGGACAATATTCGAGTGCCGAGTCCAGGAAAGTTCGTCAAGTAGTTGATCCAAGGAGTCATGGGTAGGGAATGCGGGCGAAAGTGGGTCGAGCTGTTGAAGAACTTTCGATTTGCAGTATGTCGATAATTGCTACACACGTGCAATTATGAATAAATGTGTCATGCTCTTTTACCAAGTTGATGAGACAAGACTTGTATAGATAGATTATGATTATTCACTTGATGCATGCTTCACTCTACCATTTGACAATTTTTTTTTTTTTTTTTTCTTCCTTTATATTAACACAACTTCTCATAAGGTAAAATTGAAAATTGATTATAACTTTTTATATCATATTAAATATTATTTATTTTTAGATACAGTATTATGTACCAAATTAACCTCCAAATCATTTTTTTCCCCATATAATCACACTATATATCCAACCCAACACAAACCATACTCCACACTGACTACAAATTCTCAATAGGCAAAGAATAGGGTACAATACAATATAAAAGAAAGCAAAAAAAAAAAAATGATAAGATCATTTAACCACGTTACTGAGTAAACTATTTGTAGATGGGGAGCTCTGTTCACTAAACCAAACTTCCTGCACGGACACCGGCGAGCAGTCCTCCTCCTCCTCCTCCTCCTTCACCGTGGCCCCAACACTTATCCTCGAAACCATTACCCTTTTGCTCCCAATCCCTATCCTCCGGCCACTTAATGACGACTTATCACTCCCACACGACGACACCTCCGAAGAAGATGACCCCATGACCCCATCCTCCATCACTGCCCAACCACTCCTCCTTATATGCTCCAACTCATCCGCCACCTCAGCCATCGACGGCCTCCCCTCACGTTGAAACGCAAGGCACCTGAACGCTAGCTCAGCCACACGGTGAATAGACGAGAGCGTCCACGCGTCCCGATTCGGCTCCAAATACCTGTCCACAATCTCATCCACCCTTCCATTTCCTATCCTATCCGCCGCCAGCGCAGCAAGGTTGACCTCGCTGTGCGGCCGCGAAAAGTCAACCACCCTCATGGCCGTGATAATCTCCACCAACACAACACCGAAACTGTACACGTCACTCTTATCCGATAGGTGGAAGTTCTGGTGGTACTGTGGGTCAACATACCCCGGCGTCCCTTGCGGAGCAGTCGAGATATGCGAGTCATTTTCTTCAAGCCCGAACCTCGAAAGCCCGAAATCCGCCACTTTCGAGTTGAAATTGTAGTCGAGCAAAATGTTGCTCGATTTGATGTCTCGGTGGAAAATCGGGGCGGAGTGGAGGTGGGCGATGGCGCGGGCCGTCTCCGAGGCTATAGTGAGGCGAACGGTCCACGGAAGGATCGAGCCTCGTTCGCGCTGGAGGTGCTGGGCGAGGGTCCCGTTGGGCATGTACTCGTAAACGAGAATGTGTTCACCGTGGTCGATGCAGCAGCCGAGGAGACGGACGAGGTTCGGGTGGCTGATTGAAGAGAGGAGGCGAATCTCGTTCATTACTTGTTGGATTGTGTTTTGGTCTCGATGGCGGATTTTTTTAATGGCGACCCACTCGCCGTTGTGGAGCTTGCCGGCATAGACGGTGCCGTAAGCTCCGGTGCCGAGGCGTTGGTTCTCGGAGAAGTTGTTGGAGGCTCGCTCGATTTCTTTGTAAGGGTAGAAAGGGATGGTCGGGGAGGCCTCGGCGAGGAGGTGTTTGGCGCTCACCCGGGTTTTTAGATTCGAGAGCCGCCGCTGGCGGCGGCGGTTTAGGCAGTAGAATGTGGCGGCGAGTGCGGCCAAAAGGGATGCTCCGGCAATGATGCCTGTTTATATATGTGACCGGGTAAATTTCAACAAGTAGAATGAATGGAGATGAATGAAGGAGTATGAATCACTTTTTATTACCTCCAACAAGGATTAGGATGCCTACTTTATTCTCACATCGACCGGATATGTACCTTGATGCACTGCAGTGGGACACTGATGATATACAAATAAAATTTGATTGGATGTAAATAAAATTGAACAAATATTATTATCAAGGCTTAAGAATAGGGCTCTTTTTTTCCACTATAAATCGCAGTAGCAGTAAAAATTAGCTACTATTTCCTATTGAACCCAAAGTTTTATTTAAATACAGAAGCTTATAAGTTAACCAAATAATATATAACCTAGTTTATTTGGTTACCAAACATAGACTAAATCTATTCGGAAAAAACCTCTGCATGACCTTTCAAATTGTGAGGACTACTATACTGATCACTTAAAACGAAAAATGTAATCAAATCATGAAAATTTTTGGAAACTTCGATCCAAAGTATGTTTTCGTCTCACAGTTCAATCTGTTGGTTGGTCGATACGATTTTGTTTCATACTATGTTCTTAATAATACAATCGATATATTAATGTACTAGGTTAAGTATAAGTTCAAATAATACATTAATTATCAAAGAAAATATTTAATATTACTAACAAATCAACAATAATCCTGTTCTAAATAAATATTAAGTTCAACATACAAAAGACTGGCTTTGCAATTTATTTATTTATTTATTTCAAAGCATATTTGTAATACTATTAACCTTCTTGTTTGGTGATCGGAAACCTTCCACAGCTCCAGTGATCATGTGATCTGTCTCATATTTGGCATTATTCAAATGGATTGACTTTGACTTAGTAAAAGGTATTGATTTTCAATTATCCAATCAGAAAGTGCCAAATGTGGATTTAAAATCCTATTTAAAAAATAAAATAAAATCATATTTTAGCTTAGAAGTTTGGCCAAAAGTGCAAAATAAGTCCAGTTTTGTATGAAGCCAACAGTTGGCTCCATAGTGGAGTTAACCTTCTATATATACAACATATAAATTTACCATATTCTCTGATTACTTAAATCACACTAATATAATTTTATTAATATGGTATGATCTACTTATTGTATATAGAATATTGGCTCCACTATAGATCCAACAATTGGCTTCATAGCAAAACCGAAAGTCTGAAATAACACAATTACAAATTCAATGAAATAGTTAATTCAACTTGATATCAAATCTAACTAAATGCAATGTCTAGACTTTTCTTTTATTATTGGCTTATTATCAATCATCTATTGTGAAAAGTTTCCCACCAAATTTGTATACCATATTTAAAAGGTAACTATAAATATTTTTCATATTAACACAAATAAATTATGAATTAAATTATCATAAACCAATATTAACTTATAAAATAACAAAATTGATTCTTATGTTTAATAAAAAAAAAAAGTTTGAAAATGGTGTTATGAGTATTTATTGAATTCTTAATAATATATTAAATATTAAAACATTACGAAGTGTTATAATTTTGTATTAAAAAAAAAAAACAATAACATTTAGTTGTTCATCATTCTACATAAAAACTATATATTGTTAATGAGAATAAATTTCACAAATATATACTTATATATTATAAAGAAAAAAAGTATATAAATAGACTAAAAAACTTTTCCACCTTCTGTATTAATATATATATATATATATATATATATATATATATATATATATATATACTAGCACGGGTGCTTGCTAATTTTTATCTTAAAATTTAAAATTAATGAGAAAAAATAGTTTGACAATTTAAATACCTTTTATAAGAATATATATATATGTATATATATATATATATTATATTTATTATGATACTTTTTATTTGTGCGACTTATTTGTGTTATATTATACTAATTTTTTAACTTACAAAATATAACTACATTAAATATAAATATATCAATTGAGAAATAATTTTATTTTTCTAATGAATTTTAATAATTATTATTATTTTTTATTATTATAAAGATAAATATAATTTATTTATTTTATATATACAATATGGATGTCAAATCGAAGATCATCAAAAGATGATTAATTTGATATATTATATATGTAAAACTGATAAGAAATACAAAAGTTATCTACTTTTAAAATACGTTTATAATTCAATAGCTTATTGAAGGAAGCAAATCAAAATTTAGGGATATATTAGTCACTTAGTGCTTCACTATGTAAAATTATAAATAATTAAAGGGTTATATTAGTAAAAGTGATATCAAAATACCTAAATTAGCTAAATAATATTTATGGAATACCCGAACCTAGATTATTAATTATTAATATATTAATATTATTTGTCCAAACCTAATTACGAAGCATGATTTTTCGCCAAATAGGATTCTGAAGCACCAGAAAAAACTCAGCGCATTCAGGAATTATATATAGGGAGGATATTTAAATGTATTGAGTATTGATTATATATATATATACTTTAATACCTATAGCGCATTTTATCAACTTTTTACATATAAAACACCAAGCCAATTGTCTATTTATGAATTTTCGATATTTAACACTCATATTAGATAATCACAACTAAAAAGTTAATTGTTATAGTTATACTAGTGCGTATTCCGTGCGATACACGGGTAAATAGTATTAAATAATAAATATAAATTAAAGATGAAGGTAAACAATATTAACTAATAACTATAAATTAAATATGAGAGTAATATGTGCTATAATTTATCGTATCGTAAACAATATAAAATTATCTTGTATAAAATAAACATAAAAAATGTATGTTTAAAATGTTAAAAACACCTAAAGTACTATATAACGTATGTAAAGTATCTTAAATGTTAAATATCATTGTTGAAAGATATGAGTGAATGAATAGAGAATTAAAGTTGATGTGATGTGTAATAATGATTGATCTGTATTATTTAGTTATATAAATAATATTAAAAATAGTGAGATTGAATTAAACTTGAGTTGAATTTTGAGTTGAAATAAAAATGAGTGATTTTATTCGTATACAATCAAGCCCAGGTTTTCTACATGTAATTACGGGTATTGATATGCATGAAACTTTTTTTTTTTAACCTCGTATGACCTTAATATGTAATGCATGCAGTGACAATTAAAAGTTTGAATCTATGATCAGTTATACGTGGTAATTTTAAAAATAACCAATTAAACAAAAAAATGCTGAGTTTAAAACTATTAGTCATTATTAAGTTAAGGGTTAATTGCCAAAAAAATCACGACCTTTTATTGAATTACAAATAAATCTCAACCTTATCAATTTTGCAAATAAATCTCAACTTTTATTAACTATTGCAATTTTGTCTCAAATTTGAACTCCGGCCACCCGCCGCAGCCCAACCTCGCTGGAATTGAAAAATTTTTACGTCATCGTGTAGCTCTCCTTCCGGGCAACAACATATCCGAAGTTCGTGTAAAAATTACGACAATAAGTGGTCCAATTTTCCGGTAAAAGCAAGTAGACCGCCGCCCGTCTCCGGCAAAATTGGATCCCTTATTGTCGTAATTTTTACACGAACTTTGAATATGTTGTTGCCTTGAAGGAGAGCTACATGATGACGTGAAAAGTTTTCAATTCCGGCGAGGTTGGGCGGCGGCCGGTGGCGGCGGATGGCCGGAGTTCAAAATTAAGACAAAATTGCAATAGTTAATAAATGTTGAGATTTGTTTGCAAAATTGAAAAAGTTGAGATTTATTTGCAATTTAACAAAAAGTCGTGATTTTTTTGGTAATTAACCCTTAAGTTAATTATGTGATATACTTTTTGCAACTACCATCATTAAAGTTACGTATTTTCACGATTTTCTTTATATTTTATATTTTTAGAAAACACAAATTTTTGAGATTATCATTGTCTACTAAAAAAACCAATCGAATAAGTTTTGTACATAATAAACTAATGGGAAATACTACGATCCCGTTACGAAATCATTCCAACGGGGTTTGTAACAGTTAGATCATCATTTAACCGTAAAAAATAAGTGATCTAACAGTTACAAACCCCGACAGAATGGTTCCGTAACAAGACTGTAACATCTCCCATAAACTAATTAATGGATTTGACGGGTCAAAACATCTAAAGGAAGCTCAATCCACTAATTTTACACCCTATTATCCAAATAGGACCATAATTTTATAACAAGAGAATTAATGTATTTTGATTAGAAAAAAAAATAAAAAATAAAAATATGACCCATCGGTTTTTCTAAAGGCTATATCGGGTCACAAAAGATGGGTACGGGTTAACCATATTTTGTTTGACTGTTTCCTGAATGCTTGAAAAGGTTGAACTGACAAACGTTGAACTTTCAAAAATTTGGAGTTAGATGCTAATTTATTTCCTACCTTTAACTTGTATATATATAATAAAGACAACATTTTAGCTAGTCAAAAATTCCAGCAAATCCAAAGCCCTCTTTTTTATTAGACCAAATACCCAGTCAATAATTTCCACTTTCACCAGCTATATAGATAAACTTTAGGAATTTGTTTATTTTTTTAAAATAAATTAATATATATATATATATATTACTTCAATAGTTAAATTAAAATAATAATAATAATAATAATGGAAAATGCTATGGTCCGAAACCATTCCGTCAGGGTTAGTAACTGTTTGATCAACTATTTACGACAGTTATATGATGATTTAACGGTTACAAATTCTAATGGAATGGTTCCGGTAACGAGACGGTGACATCTCCAAATACTAATAATAATAATAATGATTAAATGAAATCCCCACTCGCATGCAATTCACATTGGTCAAACTTCAACATTTTGCCCAAGATTCCAAATAATTCCAATAAGCCAAGTAAAACCAGGAACCAAATAAAAACGAGAAACAGCAAACTCACCTCTCCGGCAACCTTCCCCGGCGGCGAAACCATCTCCGGCGAACCCCTCGTTGCACTCACACCTGAACCCGACTTCCCCTGGGCCCCTCACCGTCGTACAATTGGCGTTGCGATGGCAACCGTCGCAGCTCCCGTTCACCCACCAACCGAGCTCCACCCTCCAAAAATCCAGCGCGATGGACGATATGTCCCCAGCGCCACTAGCGCTCCCGCCCAAATCCACCGCAACCGAAGAGAAGAGCACCCCGCAACCACCCCCAATTCTCCCCAAATCCAGAAAATCGCTGGCGTTCTCACTAATCCCGCCCCAGTAGCAGCTCATGTTCGCGTTGCCGGGTCCCCAATCGCAGTCCCGCCGGACGATTCTGGGGCCCACCAGCCCCACCGGGCAATCGTTGCTCGGGGCGGTGCAGTTCCCGAGCAGAAGGCCGTTTCGCCACGTCGGCGAGAAGTTCCCTCCGAAGAGCCGCCGCAGATCCCCGATTGGGCGCCCGCAGTCCGCCGGCATGTCTACCAGAATCCGATCGGCCGTCAAGTTGCGGACGCGGAAATCGGCGATCCTAACGTCACCGGCGGCGCTGCAGTCCAGCTTGATTGCGCACTCGTCGGTGAAGCCGAACGGGTAGGGTACTCGAATTCCTCCGCAATTCTGACCGCATGCTGCTGTTGAAGTTGGGGAGGACAGGGCCAAAAGTGAAATAATTGGATATATGAGGATTAATTGGTGAAAAATGAAAATCATATTGTGGGAAAGGAAGAGAGAAAACTAGATTATAAGTTTAGAATAATGAAGCAATTTGATGTTTATGGAGGGTTGACTTGTGAAGAAGAGAGTATTAATGGCGGGCAGTTGATGTTTGGTGGGAAGAAAATTAAATTAAATGGTTTTTATTGCGGGTGAAGGATTTGGTTTTGGTTATGCATTGAGCATTTTTTACAGCACAAGCTTAGTATGGCATTTGATCAAACAGTTGGTGGTGGTGGTGGTGGTGGTGGTGGTGGTAGCGGCGGTGGTCGTGGTGGTCGTGGTGAGAACAAAATGTGTGTGTGTGAGAGAGAGAGTTCTTGTTAAAAATGTGGTTACAATGTGGATGCGAGTATATATATGTGTCATAAACCATGATAGGAGTTGGAAAAATAAGAAAAAAAAAAACATGTAATTTTATTAATAAATGTGAAGACTTTTGCAGCCTCATGTGGATTTGGATATTTGTGATTGAATGTAGACATTATATGTGATGCTTTGAATGGGTCGTGTTATTACACCTAGCCATGGGCACGGGTCACTCGGCCCACCGACCCAGCCTAGATTAGGCACGAACTCAGCCCGGTCAAAGTCGTGGTTAAATGGGTCTAAGTCTGGGCCTGCGCCCGTATTCAAGTCAGGCCGGTTCAGAATCGAGTATTTGTAACATTTCATCCAATGAGCCACACCAGACCAGAAAATTAGCATCGCTTTACTATCATATATGATTTATATATGTTTTTTTTCAATTTTTTAAGGAGGAATTTGCACCTTTTACTATCATCCATGATTTATATTACACTTATACACTCATTATATATTTATTTATAAAATTACTAAACTAAATAAAAAGTATTACAATTATACCAAAAATGTAACTCATGCATTTAATTGGGACATTCCTCACACAATAATTGTATTCACACGAAACCTTTTTTTCAATAGCTTGCAATTCCCTTCTCTCCCTCTCTCCACGATTACCTTCCCCACTTTAAAACCTCGTAAGCTTTTGTTCTGGTTCACACCTATTTTCCTTTTCCTTTTTCTTTTCTTTTATTTTCCTCTCTTTTTTCTCCTCTTCGTTTTTCTTCTCCCCCGCTACTTCTCTTTCTCCTCGATCGACCCCCAAATTTTTTTCTTCTACAATTCGCAGAAACTCAAAAATCTCACAACAATCAAATTCCAAATTTCAATTTCTTCTTCTCGCACCCGCGTCGGGCTTCCGGCAACGGGGTGGTCGGCAGTCGCTTGCGAAGGTCGAGACCCGTCGAATGTCGCCGAATAGAGCTCGAAGGTGAGGTCGCCGGTTGCCGAGGTTTGCAGCACGACAAGGGTTGAGGCTCGCGTTGCGATTGGGGGTCAAAAATGTCAAAACTCGTGGGGAAATGGTATGGCGTGAAGAAGAAGAAAATCATGACAACTTTTTTGAGATTTTTTTTTTTTTTTTGCGTTTGATTTATTTTGGAGTATATGTACAGTATATGTATAGTATATCTTCGGTATATCTTCGTCATATGTTTGGTTTATATTCAGTATATCTTCGATATATGTATGGTTTTATATTTAGTAAAATCATGGATATGTATGGTTTATTTTGGAGCATATGAACAATATATCTTCGTCATATGTTTGGTTTATATGCAGTATATTTTCGGTATATCTTTGAATTATTGTTGATCGACCACGTATCTTTTTTTTTCCTGTCGCGATTATTAGTATCCTTCAAATTCAAATCTCATATCTTTTTTCATATATTTTGGTCTGATATGAATTTGAAATGAAGATTAGATTTTTTTTTTGTTTTGTTTTTTTATTTATTTTTTTTTTTACATTGGATAGAGAATCTTACATAAGGTAACTGATATTTAGGCAATCTCATAAATATAATAGCTTGATTATGTATATTTTCTATTACTTGTTCCATGAAGGTAAAATTGAAAACTTTTTTCAAATCGTGTAGTATGTGTAAAAATTTCCCTTTTTTAAGGACGGGTCTTGGATCCCCGGCCTGTCGGGTCGTGTATTTCAGGGTCGGCCACTTCAAACTCTGAGACCACTAAGCGGCCCAGCCCAAGATTTAGCCATAGTCTAATGAGAAATTTACCTCCTTTACAATTGCTTGGGCAAGTAATATCAAAAATACGATCCCGCAAACTTATCATCAAAACTATGATTTTTTTAATAATTAAAACAAACTGGGCAGTTATTTGTGGCCTAATTAACCGTTAATTGGGGAATCATTATCTTGTAGTTAATTAAGGCAAATATTACCTTTAGTTTTTAAAATAACTAACTACACACACATTTAAATTTGTTGCATGGATTTCGGGTAACGTGCCAATCGTACACCTTCTACACTTAACCTCAAGAGATTAAATGAAATCTGCCTTTTCTCTCCCTATATCTCGGTTAGTGCCAATAGTTACACCTACCGTTTATTGTACATATACATATACATAAGATAAATAGTACATAATCATATTTTTTATTAGTACACATACCGTTTAATGCAAGCGTGAGCGTCCTGGCCCAGTTTGGAGCGAATCGATCTTTGTCCTCGCCGGTAGAACGCCGGAAACCTGCAAGTAACTCTCACACCGGGGGTTGTGTCCGGTGAAGAGCCTCCGATGCTTAAGTCAGTATGTGTATGAGTATACTGAAATTGAATAGTGAATAAGATGTGTTAAGGGAGAAAGGCTCACCCCCTTTATATAGGGGTGAGATACATGCCCTAATAGCTGCCCGGATAAGGTGAGCTGGCTGCCCAAGCTGCCCGTCCGTACTCTGACACACCGCGCACATGTCAGAGGTGGCGCGGGATGTTGGCAGCTGTCAGAGGTGGTTATCGATATCCACCAATACATTCTCGACACGTGTCCTCTGGCACATGGGGTAAATATTCTCGTGCGATTCGGTTAGAGGCTCTCACACGCGCATGTGACTAGGCCGATTATTGGGTCCGTGAGGTGATCGACCTGTTGAGGTCGAATAGGTTGCTCGATCACTTATCTGGTCGAGTAATGGATTGGTCGACTACTTGACTGGTCGACTGTTCGAATGGTCGATCCTCCCGCCTCTTGTCTTGACTTCCTCATGGTTTGATCCTCTCGACCGGTTTAGTGGACTGGTTTAGCCTTATGTGTATAATATCCTATATCATCTAGTCCCCCCCACTCTGGTCGATTCTGAATGACTCGATCTAAGAGTGAATTCGTGCTTATCGACCTCCTGGGTGGCGTGATGTCAGATATCGACCAGCTGATGAGTTTCCCGCTCACTTTTTTAAATAATTCCTCATTAACTGCCAGAAATAAAGTCGCATGTCCCAAGTCCTTTCTGTCGTGCCTACTTTTCTGCCACGCGTCGCGTCTGCCGCAAGTGTCAGGTACTTTAACGATAGCGCCTTCTCGCATAACGCGCCCACTTTGAGTGTCGTGCAAATTAATGTTTCCCACCATACGATCTGGTTTTCATCTAACGGTCCTCATCTTTCAACCTTTAAACTCTCCCAGGTATAAATTCGACACTTAGCGAATTCTCAGAATTTTTCCACCTTCGCAACTCTCAAATTCCTCGGCATTCAAAATCCTCTCTGCAAAGAAAAACCATAACTTTCTCGGCAATTCCTCCCGCGATCCTCGAGCTCCCGCCATTTGCTGATCCACGGTTATGAGTAAGTCTTTTCGTACCTAAATTTGTATTCTCTGCACTTCTATTTTGTATGCTCTTGGATTTTCGGTATTGGGAATCCCCAATTTTTCTGTTGAATTTTTCGAAGTTGTGTGTCTTGTTCTGAATTTGTGCTCCGAATACTTTTATTTGTCTGTTGAATGTTGTGGATTTTGTTTTTCCTTTGCGAATTTTTTGAAATTTCCCCCTTTATTCCTCTGATTACTAGAATTGCTCCCTCCAAAAACCCTAGTCTTCCTTCTCCCCTCTTTTCCTTCGCAAAGGCTCCCTTTTGATGTTGTTCTTTTGCTCTGATTTTTTCAGACTTTGCAACCTCCAGTGAGAACGAACATCATTCTGGTGCTGACTTGAGTTCTCCGTCCTCCTCGGCCACCACTTCCTCTAACTCCGTTCAAGAAGTTCCTTTCGTCTCTGACGTTGTCCCCATCTCCATCCTTCGACCTAGTGACACTGTCCCCACTCAAGTCTTTACCGCCCGTACCTTTGCTCGTACTTCGTCCTCTAACTTCGGCGATACCATGGATAATATCCCTCTCCACCGTCGTCGTCCTGCCTTTGGCTCATTAGATGAGCCAGAGAAAGACGAGGTCATCTCCTCCCAACCTACTTTCCCTGCATCCTCGACCATTCCTCCTCATTCTTCTCAACCCGGTACTTCTAGTTCTCCCCCGAAGAAATCCTCAGCCAGAAACTCTTCAAAAAATTCCACAAAGCATTCTTCCTCCACTTCCCTTTCTAACCCTTGGTATAAACCTGAAAAGATCGGTTGGCCCTCTGGTGGGCGTTCTACAACCCTTTCCCCTCTGACACCTTCGACCATCCTCCTGAAAAATGTTATACCTTCTTCAAAATTCAATTTAAACTTGGTCTCCGCTTTCCTCTAAGTCCCGAGCTACTCCAAATTTGTGAGTGGTTCGAGCTTCCTCTACACCAACTTCCTCCCAATGCCATCCGCTTCATGACCATCTTTATCATCCTTTGCCACATCCGCTTTGGTCGTCTTGACCTTGCCTTTTTCCACTACTGCTACCTGTATCTGAAAAGCCAAAATGGCGCTCACTTCATCAACGACATTCCCTCCAACCTCCCTAAGTGGATTGACAGACTCGTTTTTGTTGAGCCTGCTGCCCCATTCTCTTGGCCTTCTACTCCTTGGGTCAATAAAGTCTCACAAGAGGCAACCTCGGCCCCTCCTCCAAACCCTCTCTTCGACCAGCGGATCCATACTTGGAACTCCAAGTCCGTTGAGTCCAGTGTTAGCCTAAACGCTAAACGGTAAACAGTCGGCGAGGGCACGTGTAGTGTTT